ACACTGCCAACAAGTCTCTCCTGCTCAAACAGGCTCAGCTCTCTGGCTCCCCGGGCCATTATCCACTGTCACCATCTCACACTGGTTCCTGGCCGCACACGGCTGCCCTTCCTGCCCACTGCCGTGTCCTCTCTTACTGTCTTCAGCATTACAACTCGGTCTTTCCCTTCCCTGGGTCTAGGAGTTTCTCAGCACAGGGACTCCAGCTTCTTCCTCTTGATGGTAATGAGATCCCCATCAACCTCCTTGCTTAATCTTCAACCAGTCCCTACAAGGTATACCTTATTTGCATAGCAAATGGTCCAATCCCTTTGCAAGGTTGTGACTTAACGAATCACCTTAGCAGAACAACACACTTAGGCCATATATAAAGAGAAACCCATTGGGTGTTGAGTTGACTCTAATGGTGGTAACCTCTCGTGTTACAAAGTAGAACAGCTGTGTAGGGTTTTCTCGGCTGGAGTTTTCACAGAAGTAGAGGCCCAGGTCTTTGTGCCGTGCCTCTGGGGGGAGTGGAATGTGAACAGCCAACCTTTAGGTCAGTGACTCAAAGTCCATTCTGACTCATATTGGGTTTCTGAGATTGTCATTCTTCATGGGAACAGACCGCCTCATCTCTCTCCTGTGTAGAGGCTGGGTTTGAGCCCCAGTACCTAAACTACGGCCTTACCAGGCTCCTCACACTCACTGTGGAGTGCAGCGGATAGTGACAGGAAGGTCTCTGTCCCTGTTATCCATATCCCCCCCCCTTGGACATGGTTATTTTTTTTTTTGCAAACATTATTGTGAATTGGGTGAAGGTTTGCAAAGGAGATCAGTTTTCCATTCAGCAATTCACATACATTTTGTTTCATGCCATTGATTGCCATAAAGATGCTAAATCTGTATGCACACACGTTATATAATATGTATTATATATGGCCATATATGCCTATATGCCCTTAATTATGTTGAGGAATTTCCCTTCTGCCCCTATTTTGTTGATCATTTTATTAGGAATTGTTGTAAGATCTTGTCAAATCATTTTCTGCGTAATTTGATAAGATCATTTATGTGTCAGGTGATGTCGATGCGGTTTCTAATGTTAAAATCATCTTTGGATGCTTGGTGTGAATTCCACTTGGTCACGCTGTATTCTTGTTCGACATGTTATTGGATTGGATTGGCCATTGACGAGGATGAGGCTGTCGCTCCTGTGAGAGTTTACTGTCTCAGAAACCCTCTGGAGGTGCGCGTTCTCCTCAGACCCCAAAAGGCCGGTTGTTATGAGTGAGAACTGACCCGATGGCAGGGTTTTGCTGAGAACGAACCATGTGTGTCCATGCTCTTGAGGGGACGTTGGCCTAGAGTTTCCTTTGTTAGGGACGTCTCTGCCTGGTTTGGGCCTCAGGGTACTGCTTGCCTCCTTAAATGACTTTGGTAGGATCCCCTCCTTTTCCGGATCCTGCAATAGTCCGAGTAGAATAGAATTCACCAGGGAAGCCCTCTGGACATTGCTATCATTCTTAAGAAGATTTACCTCCAGAACTTTTCGGTGGAAAGCCATGGGATTTAGCAAAGAACGATCCCTACCTGGCACCTTTTGATCTGGGGCACACACACTAAGGATCATGTTCAAACTGTTTATATCGTCTTGATGCCGATTCTCAGAAAAACCAACAAAATGCCAGTTACTGAAGAAAAACAAAGAAACCAGGAGGCCTGACTACGCGTCCTTCGGTGTATTTGCCTCGTCCGTCACCCACGGCTCTGTCTCTGTTCTCTGACAGGTGGTGACGTTTCCTCTCATCCCCACGGCGTGGGACAGGACGTGCCGCCCGTCCTCCGGGACCACCCCCGGCTCTGGCCGGCACATTCCGGAGTGCCGTCTGCCAGAGAGCCCAGCAGAGCTGCCGTTCTTC